CTGGTAACACTGCGTACCCAGTTATCAGCTGTCCTCCCCTAACTCCAGACTGGGGAGCTCAGGATGTGTGGTCTTCTCTTCGACTACCCAGTGGTAAGATACATTGAATTTTTAAAAATTATTAAAAAATGTTAAACATGCAAAATAGTGAAGAGAATAATGTAATACAATCTCATGTACCCATTAACCATTTTCAGCAATCAACATCTTGTTGCATCTGTATCCCTCTCCTGGATTATTTTAAAGCAGACCTTAGATATAAATATGTCTCTAAGTGATAAGGACTCTAGTTTTTAAATAATAATCATGGTACCATATATGAATGACATTTAAAAAAACTGTAATTTCTTAAAAACTTGTAATTTTCAGTTAGTGTTTGAATTTTTCCCATCTTCTCATTTGTTTATGAATTTTGTTTCTTTCTGGAAATTTTTAGGATCTTTTATCTGTTATTCTTAAATTTCACAAAAATACAGCTTTCATCCTGGGCTTTCAGTGGGCCTTTTATCTGGAACCCTTTAGTCTTGGGAGGTTTTCTTGAATTACTTAGTAATTTCCTTCTCCCTTCATTTTCTCCTCATTTTTAGATTTATTATTCAAATATGGACCTCTGGTAGCTATTCTATTTTCTTTCTCTTGTTGCTCTACTTTCTGGAATATTTACTCAACTTTGCATCCAAAAAAGAGCTCATCTGTTTTTGTCTCCCCCCCCCACCCCCGAAACATCCTTTTCTTGTTTAGTCTCTGCAGTTAACATCTTTTCTCTCTGAGGTTGTTTCCTTCACATTGGTCCTTTTCCTCAGCTGTGTAGTCCACGGCTATTTGCTCTTGTTTAAGAATGGGGTGCTGTAGCGTGACTTGGAAGCCCTGTGCAAGTGGGAGGGGCTTGTCGAAAATGAGCTCCACTGTGGGCTGGTCTGGTAGGGCTGTTCCTTGGATAAACTCTCACATCAGTATCTTTTAACCTTTTCTCCTGTGTTGACCAGGATTACCTAGAGAACCTTTTTAGTCTCAGTCTCCCACCTGGAGAAATAAACCTGGCTGCCAGCATTCGGTAAGCTGGGGATCTTACATATGTGTGTCAACTTAATCCTGTTTTCACTATGGCATTGCTTGCCTCAACTGTACCTGGTGTCCTCCAGTGCACATAAGTCTGGACTAAGTCTATTTTACCTTCAGAAAAATTTAAAACTGCTGCAGTGCAGAAGGGAGTAATTGCTTAGGTACATAGACTGGGGATGGGGAAGAGATCCTAACTGCTGCTTGACTTTCAGTCAGTCTTCTTTCTAGTCCCATTTTCACCCTACTCCCTTCAAAGGTATCTAGTGCCACTAATTCCTCAACCTTTGAGTGGCCTCTGTAATGTAGGTTGCTTCTCTTCTTTTCCTGCATCCAGTTTAGGATGAAATTTTCTTGGTCTGCAAAGTAGTTACCATTCCATTTGCCTTTCAGCTATGTTTATGTCTATTTTTATTCCCTTTACTTTTGTTTTTATATAATTTCGAGATACATCTTATGATTAATCTGTCTTTAACTAGACATTTGAATATATCAACTTCTCAAATTAAAAATCTACAGCTATAAACCAAATTTATAGCAGAGGAATAGGATAAGTATTGTACTATATTGGTATTATAATGGTATTATCCATGGAGCTTAGAAAAAGCTATCCATGGGAATGTCATGAGCAAAAATTAGGCAGTTTTTATGTAGTACTGTCCAAAGAGAAACAGGGAATCTGAAAGATTTATACATTCTAAACACTAGAATTGGGGATAATCTTTTGAGAAACAGTATTATAGTGGCCTGTGTAAAACCTAAAAACTCCATTTTTCTTTCTCTTATGGCATGCTCATTGCATAACCTAAGTTTTGGGTAATTAAGCTTTCCTGATACCAGAAAAGGTAGTCCTGGGCAGTAGGCACAGGTATTTCAGTTACTAGAGTAGAACACTACCTAGTATACTACTACTAAAAACAGTTGATACTCATTGAGTACTTAACTATATGCCAAGCACTGCTCCAAGCACTTTATCTGTGTTAATAAATTGAATCTTCACATAAGATGGCTACTAGTTCTCATTCCCATCTTCAGTGTCATTAACATCAAGTAACATGACTGATGTCATGTAAGTGGTGGAGCTGCATAAATACAAGTTAATAAATTAACCTTGTGATTTGTATTTTATTCTTATTGGGGACAGTGAGAGTCAAAGAGCCTGGTGAATTCCAAGAATATTGGGAAAATGGAGCTTTTGGATCCATAAGCTAACTAGTCCCTTGACTCTAGTGACAGACATTATGTCACTGCCATGAAACTGCCTGAGCAAACATGTGGCCCCCAAGGAAGTTACTTTTTTATTGTCTTTTAGATCTTATTACTGTTGAATTTATGTATAACCTTATGTTTATTAAGATTATTCTTTGGATTTGACTTTTTTTACTGCTTAAAAAATGTTAAAATAGTTCAAGTGTAAAGATAAATGAGTAGCTAGTATAATATCAAAACAATTAGCATACCTCAATTTGTCTAAGAACAGGTACTTCTACAACACTTACCTTGTCCGTTGGCTTATTTCTGTTGCCTTTTCACCAGGGATTTAAAGGGATTGTGTATGTGAAAAGAACTTTGCAAAGGGTAATTTCTTTGCCTGTGATTTGGTGAGAAGAGTGATAGGTGATATACATAAAATACTCTTCATGGCAGATAAATATTTTTCTTCTTATAATCACTTTATCATGCCAAAGTAAGGATGAACATTTCCTTATGCAGATTCTACTTTAGACAAGAATAATACAGTAGCTTCTTATTGTCTGTGGCTAACAGGCGTCTCTGAATATAAAATAGTTTGCTGAAGTGGTATTTTCGTTGTGGTATTTTCGTTATGAATTAACAGTTCAATTTTCTTTTTATTTCTGAACCAATAGGTCTTGGCTGTCCAACAATACTTTCTCCAGAAGGATCCGCTCAGTTTGCGGCTCAGATATTTGGATTAAACAACCATTTGGTATGGGCTAAACT